CTATAGTTGCCTGGGTCCTCCTTCCTCCCCTTCTTGAAAATGGGGACCACATTGGCCCTTTTCCAGTCCTCCGGGACCTGGTCCCTGCGCCATGAGTGTTCAAATATTTCCTCCAGTGGCTGTGCAATGATGTCAGCCAGTGCCTTGAGTACCCTCGGATGGAGTTCATCCGGGCCTGCCGACTTAAACTCATCCAGTTCCTCCAAGTGACTCTGCACCATCTCAGGGTCTACGCATGGTAGTCTGGCGCCTTGCTGCTGCCTCTCTACAATCCCAGTGAGAGACTTGTCTTGCCCCTCGCTTAGGAACACTGAGGCAAAGAACTCACTGAGGAGTTCAGCCTTGTCCCCCCTGTCCATCACCAATTGCTTATGCCCATTTAATAGAGGTCCTATTCCACCCTGGGCCTTCCTTTTACTCTGTATCTAAAGAACAGTACTACTATGCTTCTCCTCTGCTTGACACCATTGTTTGGCAATACAGATGATAAGGCTCAGGGAATTGCAACTTTAAGTTCCACTGCTAATGGGGTCCCCAAGAGATCCTTGACCTGTGGAAAACTGGCATAGCAGAGATCTCACCTCCACTTCCTTTCTTTGCTCTGCAGTTTTTCTTTTTCCATTCCTTTGCATATGTAAACCAGACAGACAGAGGTGCAGACATGAGCTGGCACATACATGGCCAAGAAGGTAGTTTCCCCACCCAAAAGAAACTTGTACGAGGAGATAACCAAAGATATCTTAAGTACCTTTACAGACAGTTTAGCTAAGCAGGCTTAAAATGGATTTTACTGTTTTCATGTCTTTAAAATTCAATTCTTTTCAATTGTTTTTGTGTTTTCTTAGGAAGATATAGTTCCAAGTTACATAGCCACCACTAATTAGTGTGTGTTTAATTCAAATAAGATCCTTGAATATCAGAAGATTCAAAAGTTCATTTTATTTTCTGAGTTGGATTTGCATATACAAATTAAGTAGTTTCTGAAGTGATCGTCATCTTTTAATACTGAAGCACTCTAATTTTCTGACCCCAAACTCCATCTAAACTCTATTCTAATCTCGCTCTCTTTTAGATAGTAGTAGAAAATATATAAGGGTTTAAAATTAATTGGGTCAGGAAACAGAATATTGATAGCCAGGGAGTTGAGAACCTGACTTAGGTTATAATACTACAAAACCTAAAAGTTGCTTCCTTTGGTATGGATGGAACAACAATTTCCTAATCTAGCCTTGGATGATATTTACTTGTAGATAATTTTCCATCCATCACATTGTTGTGTAAAGGCCCCTTACAAATACTATTTCCAGTTACAGCAAAGCTCAGTTATTCTGAGGGAGCACATACCAGGGTTCTGAGTTATCCTGCTGATGTCAGCCCCAGATGTTTTAATCAAAAAGTGTACACGCTGTCTTCCTAGAGATCAGGAAACTAGTGAAATCAGTAGTTTAGTAGACTTAATAATGTGGATAATCCATCAGAGTGTGTCACTCAAACTGGGTCTATGCAAAACTCTTTTCATTTGAACTCTACAATGTGTTTCATACAAGAAATGTGATAAGCTACAAAAATGTTATATCAAGTGTTATATGATGTGAAGAAATATGGGATACATTTTTTGCATTGACAAATAGCATGTTTTTCTCATGTGGCCTGTTTCTCCAACTGTGTAAAATCAGATAAAAAATGTTGCAAAAATCAGTGATAACTTTGGAAAAGGCAAGCTGAATCTCTGTGCCTCAGCTCCCTGTTAGAACAATCCTGCAAAAACTATTGCAAAAGATATTGTGACTCACAACCTGAGGCCAAGTAGGCAAATACATTGAGGCAGCATTCTCCATTTCCATAGAACAGCCTGCCATTTTGGGGGAAGAAGTTAACAGTGTAGTTTCCCTGCTGTCATTTTTCCATGGCATCTCTGACTTGTTTCTCACTTTTGTAAATATTTGAGCTATGGATAGAGAGCAACAATGACCCTGAGGTATAGCCACTAGGGCTTTGTGAAGCTTTGGTCCCTTTCTTGATTTGGGAGAGATTCGGCCCAATTCGGTGGCCAAGTCTCAAAATCTGAATCGAATCAGGAGACCCTTTAATCACTCTGAATTGAATTGGAACCCTCTGAATTGATTCGGAAGATTCGACAATTCGGACATAGACACGGCTTTAAATGTTTTTTCCACATACCTCAAGGTACCATGCAGCTTGTGAATGCTGTTATGCTGGGGCGGGTGGAGCATCCCACAGGAGTGCAGGGGGGTCCCCAGAATGCTCAGCAGCAGATTTGGAAGTGGACAAGAAGCACGTCCAGTCTACTTCTGGGTCTGCCAGGGAGAGTGTGGGGGCCCCCCTGTGGCTGATTGCTGAGCTAGAGGGGCACAGGGCCCCCCCCATGTGCTAGGCAGTGGGCCCAGAAGTGGACTGGAACTACTTCCGGTCCACTTAAGGGTTCACCGCTGAGCGGGGGGGGCATGCTTTTGTGGGATGCTCCATCCACCGCAGCATCGCAG